TGACGTCCGGACAACTAAATGGTAAAGTTTGTAATGCTATGCACCTAAATGTGTAAAAAAATAGTTTATGCGCCTATTCAAGAATTTTGGTATGGTTTGGGAGCTTATTTTGGTATTAAGCCTTTATATTTTATATATTTTTATTTTATTGAGGAAAAGTCTACAAACACGGTTCCTGTTGATTCGGGTTGGCTCCGACAGTTGTCGATCCAAGTTCGATGTTTTCCAACGGGGGAATGTTTTATTTTAGAGTAAATTACACGTTTATTACCTACTTTATCAGTGTTATTTTGTTTTAGTATCTAAACTTTCATTTATTATAAAATCATACTTAACGTTTACTTTTTGTTTAATTTTAATACTCCAATTGTTTATATTTTAATCACTCTAATTTATTTTATTAATAATTTTTGTGACATGACATTTTTATTATTTTTTTAATATATGATTAAAATAAAATAATAAAATTATAAGTTGGAGGGTTTAAATTAAAAGTAGTATGAAAGTTAAATAATTAAAATAAAAAAAATTAAACTTTAACGACCAAAATAGGACTAAGAAGATAGTTGAGTGATGAATGATGCGACTTACCCATTAAAAGGTGACAAGTACAACTCATTCATTAAGTTTTTAACGACGGAGTCTTAAAACGAAACAAAAATTAAAATGTTAGGTATGGTTTTGAAACAAATGAAAATTTAGAATGTTAGGTATGGTTTTGAAACAAATGAAAATTTAGGCACTAAAATGAAACAAATTCGATAGTTTATTTATTAAATGTGTAGTTTACCCTTTTTTATTTTGGTTATAGTTGAGGTCTTGTTAGTTTTTTTTTAAAAAAATAATGTGATTCTCGAATTATTTTTGCGCTCAATATTGATCTCAAATTTAGAAAAAGAATTCAATATTGCCCTTTGACCAATGATTTCTGTTGTTGAACATTACAATTCTGGCGTGGTACTTAATAGTACTGACATAACGATTTACAATGCTGACGAGACGATCCACGATGGTTGGTGATGTGGCAAATAGGGTAAATTATTTTTTATCGAATTTGATGGCCAATTTGATTTTTTAAAAGTTTATGGACTTATTTAATTTTTTAGAAAAAATATTTTTATTCTAAAATATACCAATATAAATAATAAATAAATTTATAAATACTAAAAGTAAAAATTAAATTACTAAAAGATTAGAAAAATATATATAATTAGTGATTGAAAACATTATGCTAAATGATTTATTGAATTTAGAGATAAATTCAATGTGAGTTTTATTTTAATTTTATTTTGTAAAGATTACTTTTTTATTCTTTGAGAAAATAAAAAAAATAAATATTGGGGTGCAAAAAAATCTTAAACACATGAAGTACATATTCTCTTCTGATTTTATAGAGTTGTATCAGAGAACGACAGGATATGTCAATATTCCTATTAATTTTTTTGAGATAAAGTTTAGGCGAGATTTATAAAGTATAATTGTTTTTTATATTTTTTAATTATATAATTATAATTTATAAATAAAATTTAATTTCATAACATTTAGTACAAATTACACATTTTGTACCTAAATTATCAAGTTTGATTCATTTTAATACCTAAACTTTTAATTTTTTTAAACCATATCTAACATTTATTTTTTGTTTCGTTTTAATACCTCGTCGTTGAAGACTTAATGGGTGATTTGCATGTGGCACTTTTTTATGGATAAATTGCATCCTTCATCACCCAAATATCTTCTTATTCTTATTTTGGTCACCAAAGTCTAATTTTTTAATTTAATTACTTAACTTTCAAATTACTCCTAATTTAATCACTTTAACTTTCAAATTTATTTTTTATTACTAATCGTATATTAATAAAATAATAATAAAAATGTCATGTCACAAAATTATTAATAAAATAAATTAGAGTGATAAATAGGAACAATTTGAAAGTTGAGTAGTTAAATTGAAATTTTTTAAACTTTAGTACCAAAATAGGGGTGTGAAGATAGTTGAGTAATGAATGATGTAATTTACCCATAAGAAATACAATGTCGTTAATTTTTTAACAACAAGGTACTAAAATGAAACAAAATTAAATGTTAGGTATAGTTTTGAAAAAATTAAAAGTTTTGAAAAAATAAAAAGTTTAGGTACTAAAATAGATTAAAACTGATAGTTTAAGTTTTTATTGTAATTATATTTGTATTTGTATTTTGTATGTTTTTATTATAGTTTAAATTGATATAATTCATATATAATAATAATTTTTTTTGAATTTATTATAGTTTAAATTGATATGATTCATATATAAGTGTAAATATAATTTAAATGATATATTTTATTTACAAGATAATGTCTATAATGGACATTTTATCTTTTCGAACTCATTTTTTAAGTGCAATTCCAAACAGTAAAATTTTAAACTGCACTTTTGTACAGCACTAAACTAGCCCTAATTAGGAGTGGGAGGAACATAAGGCAATTTCCAAGGCCTTTAGTAAATAAAGGACTTTAGCGTTTTGAATAACATGATCTTGGCAATGTGGGACTTAGTCCTTGGGAATTACAAACCCTGGTTGCTCCATTTGTAAACGCTAGGATTCGAATCTCTGACTTTGTTTAAGGGATCTAGTGTCTCATCCCACTAGACCAATTGTTTGTTGGTTATATACTCTAAACTTTAATCATGCAGATCTCTCCCTGAAACTAATTTCCTTTTAGCAGCCTAATAAATTAAACTCTTATGCAGAAAACAGAAGAATGAAAACTATAATAATAAATATAAACAAAATGGAAAGCACCTTAATGAAGTCATCCAATGTTAGGTAAGAGTCCTTTGAGTAACCTGCTTCTTTCAAAAGTTGGGTCAAGACTTGCTGCAAAAGAAAGAACAAAAGTGTAAGATGTTATCGCCGGCCAGCTGTGATTAATCTAACATGATGCTATCCTCAATAGAGAAACCATAAAACAGTCTATCTCATTCAAAGTTAAGTTAAAACCGAAATGAAATTGAGATATTTACTTTTATAAAATACATAATGATGTTTAAATTTGAAAATCTTATTCAATAATTTAAAGAAAATCTTAACAATGCAGTAATCAATGGCACCAGTCAAACAGTATCATACGATGCAACCACTAGATCATTAGTAGTCATTAGCTAGTAGCCACTTTAGCCTGATGCATGCTTTTCAACACCAAACACTCTACCTGAGACAGCTTTGATCAAATGGGAGTTTACAGCTACCGTGAGAGATTTTGCGAGGAACATAAACAAATAGAATTGTATAAATTCACCAACAGCCTCAGTAAATCATTTTCTGTATACCGAGCTATTTTCTACAAAACCAAAGAAAAATGCAGAAAACATTTACCAAAAATCATTTTGCATGAAACAGACCTTCAGTTAGGGTCATCTCTATAGAACTAATAATGAAGGTGATCATTGCATATATTAATCAGATGAAGAGAAAATGAACAAATAAAACGCTTCTTTTGAATCCCTTCATATCTAAATTGGAGTGAAAGATCCAGAAAATCGATCCAATCATGCAAATACCTTTACAAGATTCATCATAAATGAGAATCATCTGTTTCGGAAAGAAAGTAAAGAAAATTTAAGGGACCCTACAAGATCAGTTTGCTCCCCTTTAGTCTATTACATCAGAGCGACCCATTAATTCTTTTTCCATATATTGGCAGATAGGCAAAATGTCAGCTTGAGACGAAAAAGATTGTAGAAAACTAAAAAAAAATTCTTTTCCACCTTCAGTGTTATTTGAATTCATATGAAAATAAAAAATGTTATTAAGTTCAATTACAAATAAGATTGATTTGCATATTCTGCACAATAATTCTCCATATCTCCTCTTATTGACGATTCTGTAAGAGGTATTTCATTTTTCTTTTGCATCACAATCAGACATTACTAATACGATATGTGAATTAAATTCATTCATTGAAATAGATGTTTTCATTGTCTTTCAGCATGCTAACAGCAAGAGTTCACTTGATATCCCTCAATGGATAGTTGGATACTCTATCAGCAAATCAAATAGGCTAATTGATGATATTTTATCCAGGGAAAAGTAAACTATAAAAGTAAACTATCGTCAGAATACAAATAATCATCAGCACTCACTTGCTCTTTTATTTTCTTTTCATTTGGATGATATAACAATAAAAGGGGAAACTATAAAAGGTAGAAATAATTGGTTTTACCTCTCTTTGCTCATCAGAAATAAATGAACCAGACAAGTCACGTAACACTTCTAGTATGTCATTGAAAGACACCTTTCCATTGCCGTCAGAATCATACACTTTGAAGATAACTGAAACAGATAGAAAATCTAATTTTGAAACACTTTTCAACTTCTGTGAGCAAGGGGCAATAAAAAGGAACCCAAAAGGTAATCATCATAACTCTTTTACTTGTGACCATTGATTCAGAACCAGATTGTACCCATACCAACAAAGTCGATCACTCTACGGAAATGACAGTGAAAAACTCACGTTTAATTTTCTACTGTACACTTGCTTTAGCAGTAAACGCTGACAAGAAGGTAACAAAGTCCTTAAAGTTCAAACCATCCACCATCTTAAGTAGCCTCTGTAAATAAAACAAATTCAAGACATCAACAGAACAAACTTTAGATCAAAAGGAAAGAAAAAGAACAAACTCAATCCTTTGCATAAAACTCTAACACAGCACGCGAACACTGACATTGGCCACGATTTATATTCACATCCCAGTGTTGAATTAATTACTCCAATAACATCAACCCGAAAGACTACCTGAGAGAGCAGATTCATTGCAAACTCCGGAACTGATAAGAACTCATCAGCAGATATAAACCCCTTTGCATTTCGATCTAACTGACAAAACCTTTGGTACAAAGAAACAATTTCCTGCTGAGAGACTGCATTCGCACGGTCAAGAAAACATCGAAATTTGTTTAATAGAACAACAAAATGGAAGAACCAGTAGGAGAAATAAAGCATATAGACAACCTACATAATCTCTGGCAGTGTTCTTGAACTTCTTCGATATCATATTGAGTTAGCACTGAAGAAGAATTGCCCATAGTGTGTCACTGAATAACGAAAGCAAATAAATAAATATACAAATTACGTTATCTTTAATGGATACAAAGAAACCGAAAGATAGAAAATATGCGCATGCAACAAACTAGGCTTGTTAATAGTTCCAATCGGCTAACTACAAGTAGGTGACTCTACAATCTGAGAAACAAAAGCGAGCCCATCGATCATTATACCAAATTTACCAGTACCCATCAATCAGAACATTAATTACCTTAAAAAAACCCAACTTTTCAACGAATTGAAGGGGACCAAGACTTGGAAAAGTTTGGTTCCAGAGAAACAGCGAGAAACAAGAAGAAAATAAGAATTCCTTCGAACAGGTCTAAATTGAAGTGAAAAGTTCTTTCTGTATAAACAATACAGCGTCAGAAGTAAAGAATCAACACCCTTGAGACGTATTCTGAGGAACCAACTAGAAAACCCAGAAATAAAACGAAATCAAAGGTGAGAGAAGGGATGTGAAAGAGTTATAACCTGAAATAAGAAAAGGAGAAAGGTAAACGGGCATTCGAATGGGAAGTAGAGTTGAGAGCAGCAAAAACTCTTTCGACATCCAACTTATCTTCTGTTTTGGGTCCGCGTTGTCTACCACTGATTTCATCTTATCTCTCCTTTTTTGGCTTAAAAGCTAATTTTCCCTCTACTTTTAACTTAATTTCCACCCCTGTACTATCTTTTAGTGTGTAGTGTATAATTATTTCATGGGTAAACTGCATTGCATACCATTACATTTTAAAGTAGTGTATATCTTATATTTTCAACTTCCAATTATAATATTAAATTTAAATTTTATTTCAATTATATCATTAAACCATTAACTATGTGATGATGTGACTGACGATTTGTCAACGTAAACGTCACACCAAATAGATATTATTCTAGTATTCAAAAAGACTCAAGAAAACGTCATTTTATTAGAAAAACTCGAGAAAAATGCCAGATACTCTCCAAAAAAACTCAAACTAGAGTATTTCGAAAATAAAACTAAGCACACCCACCAAATCAACTCAAGAACTTTCTATGTTTTTAACAAAACTAATATATATATATATATATATATATTGTCGGAACTGTCTTTCGGTTGGGCCCGGAATTGGGCTTCGACTTAGGAAAAATGATTTGGAGTCACCACCGACCATTTTAAAACGAATTTAGGTGGGTCGGACACCATCTTACCTAATCTGTGTTGTACCAGAAACGTGTCGAGTTCAGGAGTCGGTTACGGTCAAGGAAGGATTAGCACCCTTGAACCATCCTTTCGGTACCAATTAATTTATCGGTTATCTTTAATTACGAAAATTAAAAATAAAAATAAAAATTTAAAAATTCGATTCAAATACTTACCTTTGATTGGATTGAAATTACCACTAAAAATGTCAAAAAATGTTAGATGGTAAACTAATAATTAAATAAATAAATAAATAAATAACAAAACAATAGAATAGAATAGAATAATAAAATAAGAAATCAAAACAAATAAAAAAATAGAAATAGAAAATAAAAAATTAAAAAGATGAAATTGAATATATAAAAAAGGGTTTTAAAAAATAATAATAAAAAGGATGTTAATTAGTGACCAAAATAAAACCTGCATAAAACCTTGGGCCAGATTCGAAAATATATAACTTGGGGACTAAAATATAAGCATAATAAATTAAAATTCCAAATTAAAAAACTGAAAAATGAAATTCAGTGACCAAATTACACATATGCAAAAACCTGAGGATTGAATACGGAGTCTAGCCACTCCCGAAATTATATCAAAGCCCTTCCCCAAAACGACATCGTTTTGAGGAGGGTATAATTAACCTCAAAACCGGTCATCAAGGCTTCAAACTCTCATTTGCTCTTTTTGCTCTCTCTCTCTCTCTTCAAATGAGAGAACAGAGGTTCTCTCTGCCCTCTCTCTACATTTCTAACTAAGGGACACCGGCCGCCCGGCCAACCGCCGCCTCGTCAGGCGCCGACGATGATGGCCGAAAAAATTCAAAACTTTCCCAAACACTCCCCTTTATACCCTAAACCCGATTTCGAAGCCAAAATTACAAAAAAATAGCCCCAAGCAGTGTAGATCTACCCCCAAAGATCAAATCTTTTACCTTCGATGTTGTGTCTTTTCGGCTTCCCGGTGGCTCTTTGGTTCCGACGTTTGGCTCCTTTCGTTTCTGACGAACGGAATGATCTTTTACTTATTTTTCTGCTTATGGGTTTCAAATGATTTCTTGTTTTGGTCCTGGGTTTTGTTTTGGCTTTGACGTGGTTGGTTTTTATGGTTCAATGTTTGTATTTCTTTGATGTTTCTGTGTTGGATGTGGGTTTGTTGATATCTCTCGGGTTCTCCGATGTTGATGGTTTCTGTGGCCTCGGTTCGTTGTGTAGATGTGTGTACCCTCCTCCGTTGGACACCGGGGTATTTATACCCTTCTCAGTGAACCAGTACCCCGGGTTGTTCCGTTTTGCTCGGGGCGTTGCTACTGAAATCTCGGGATGGTTCAGTCCCGTGATCCTCGGCCGACGTCCAGCCGTTTCACGTGACCCTTGACCTTGCTGTGTGGTGCCTTGACTTTAGGGTTTTCAAACCCTAAACATCATCTGGTTACTGGACTGTTTCGTAGGACTTTTGGGCTGGTTCAGGCTCGGTTATCTTGGACCTTATTTTAGACCCTGGACATAAAAAATAAATGAATAAGAAATAAAATAAATAATAGTAACAAATAATAATAAATAATTAAAAAAAAAGAAAAAAACTATATAATATAATTTTTTTTAAACGTTTCTTTTTAAAAACTATATATTATATATAAATTTTCAAAAATGTTTTTTTTAAACTATATAATTTTCCAAAATATTTTTTTTGAAAAACTATATAATTTCCAAAAGAGTTTTAAAAATTATATATTATATATAAGTTTTCAAAAAATTATATATTATATAAGTTTTCAAAAAATGATTTTAAAAACCATATATTATATATTTTCTAAAATGTTTTAAAAACTATATATTATATAGTTTTCAAAAGTGTTTTAAAAACTATATATTATATACATTTTCAAAATGTTTTTAAAAAAACTATATATTATATATGTATTTTCAAAAACCATTTGCGAACTATAATATATATATATATATATATGTGGGACGAAAATTAGTGTCTACAGCTGCCCTCCTTGACCCTACCATGTGGTTGATAGACCTTCGAGCTGAATGAAATCGAACTCGAAAAGTCCTCGTCGACATATGACTTTTCCCGACTTCAGTTATGCTGCCGGAAAGCGGTTTATTGTCACTATGGCACGGTTAACCCCATTTTTCTTTTCGACTTAAAAACCTCGATTGCAGCCAGACAGTAGTGTGATTGAGGTGTCATCGAGCTGAATAGAATCGAACTCGACCAATTTATTGACAGATAACCCTTCTTGCTATTCTGTAAATTTGGTTTGCCTCTAAGATGAGTGTAATCGAACTCGAAGGTCTTCGGTTGGCAGATGACCCTTATTGACTTAAGCTATGCTGTAAATGATACGCCTTGGAGCTGAGCGTAGTCAAAACTCGAAGGTCTTGGTTGGTAGATAACCATTATCGACTTAAGTTATGCTGCAAGTGATATGCCTTAGAGCTGAGCGTAGTCGAAACTCGAAGGTCTTTGGTGACAGATAACCCTTTTGGCCTTGAGTTATGTTGTAAATTATGTGCCCTTTGCCTCTAAGATGAGTGTAATCGAACTCGAAGGTCTTCGGTTGGCAGATGACCCTTATTGACTTAAGCTATGCTGTAAATGATACGCCTTGGAGCTGAGCGTAGTCAAACTCGAAGGTCTTTGGTTGGTAGATAACCATTATCGACTTAAGTTATGCTGCAAGTGATATGCCTTAGAGCTGAGCGTAGTCGAACTCGAAGGTCTTTTGGTGACAGATAACCCTTTTGGCCTTGAGTTATGTTGTAAATTATGTGCCCTCGAAGCTGAGTGCAATCGAACTTGAGGGTCTTTGGTAGATAACCCTTCTCGACTTAAGTTATGCTTCAAATGATGCACCTTGGAGCTGAGCGTAGTCGAACTTGAAGGTCTTTGTTGGCAGATAACCCTTCTCAACTTAAGTTATGCTATAAATGATATGCCTTGGAGCTGAGCGTAGTCGAACTCGAAGGTCTTTTGGTCACAGATAACCCTTCTAGCATTGATTTATGTTGTAAATGATGTGCCCTCGAAGCTGAGTGTAATCGAACTCGAGGGACTTTGGCAGATAACCCTTCTCGACTTAAGCTATACTGCAAATGATGTGCCTTGGAGCTAAAGGTAGTCAAACTCAAAGGTATTTGTTGGCAGATAACCCTTCTAGCCTTGAGTTATGCTGCAAATAGGGAAAAATTGGCTTCCTTTCACAGGTCTAAGTTGGTCGTAATTCTTCAGGTGGTTCCCCTGAGCGGGTCTGGACCAGGTGATTTTTGGATGATTTCCCTTTACGGGAAAGCCCACTGATAGTTTCTGTTAGCCGGATACCTCCCGTTGTAGAATTGACATCTGGCTTGAAGACATTAACTTGAAATATGTTGCTCGTTATTGAGTTAAGTTGAATTGGATTTGTTCTGAACTGGTTCTCGAACTCATCTGAAACTGACTATCGATCTTTCAATATGTCGAATTGGTTGAGAGGTAGCTTCTTGTTGCTGAGTTAAGCAACCACCATAAATATTTAAAGGTGCTTTTGAATCGAGTATCCTTCGCCTTGAAGTTGAAACCTGACTCTAAAAGCTGAAAAAAATATGTATACTAAAATGATGAATGTGATGCACCTCAATATGTCTAAGATGCATGCAATATGAATGAATTATGTGCTCTTTCTTGGATGGAGTCTCGTGCTTTGTCTACCAATCTGGTACATAGAATTGATCGTGCCCCATCTTTTTTTCAAGCTTGGGCTTTACAGACCCTTCATATCTGAGACTGTTCTGTTTGAAAAATGTTTTTCTCTTTTTTCTTGTTTTAGGAGGGAAAAAATATTGTTCGCAATTGAACCAAATTATAAACGTGAGTTCAAAGAATATCAAAGGAATCAAGAGCTCTTTTAATGCTTTCAGAGTTACAGCTCTTTGACAAATGTTCAAATGGATGAGTTGTCTTTAGGTTAGCCTCCTTTATAAGGTTTTGGTAACCCAAAATGTCATTTTTCTAAAATATTGCAGCATGCTTTGGCATTTCAACTGGGTGCGGACAAAATGACGCAACTAGCATGATCAATTACTAGACCTTTTATTTCGGTCCTCTGAAATCTTCCATTTGTTCAAGCTTTGTAGGCTCCTCTAAGAAAGGCAGTGAAAAAAAATTGGTCTAAAAATGAAATTCTTGAGTGCTAGTGTGTGGTTGACTATAGCAGGTGTTCTTTAACTCCCTTAGTCCATCATTACCGAAAATTTATTACTTAGATAAATTTGATTTAATTTGTCGTTATCTGGCTAGCTGAATCCATAAAGTCGGGATGTTTAACCAATTGCTTTAGAGGGACAACTTAACATTATAATCATTTTTATCAAGTTAACTGAAGGGTTCATCTCATCACAAAATCTTCGGCCAGACAATAGCAGTGGAGTAAACACCGAATTGCCAAGCGTTCGAGCAATGTCATGGTTTAAACGTAATCTATTCATAAGGCTAGGGCTTTCAAGTTTCCTCTATAACCCATTGCCTTAGTGGAATAACTCAGCTTTGCGGATTAAATTTCTTAAGATTATCAAGAAGAACCTGTTATAGTCTAGGTGTTGTTAAAAGTCAAAAAATTCATCTTTAGAGTTTAATTTTCAAGCAACTGACCTAAACTAGATTCACCTACTCGACTATTTTATCTGTAAAGATCATGATCATCACTGAACATCTTAAACAAAAGCATAGTAATGTCATATGCAAAAGGATGCCCCATGTTGTCCGTACCTTATGAAAGGAAAGGGTTATATTGGTTAATTGCAAGAGCAGGGTACGGTGTATGAGGGTATATTCTCGGTAAAGTCAAAAATCCTTGTTTGAAATCATGTTACTTTGTTAAATATCTGTAACTTTAAACCATTTACAGAGTTTCTTAATTCAGTTGATATTCAAAGAATAGCAAGTTTGCAAATGTGATTCATTGCTCGTCATCATTAAAGTAACATAAATTTATTCAAATGTTCTTGAGAAAAAAATGGAAAAAAAACTCAAACAGAATGCCTCAAATGATGAAATGATCTTCCTCACTTGGATGCCCCCAAGTTGTTGAAGTCGATCCAGTTCTGGTTACGCATCTTATGTACGACTCTCTTGAATGCATAACAGTTCTCAATAGTGTGCCCTGGGACACCGCCGTGATATTCACAATGAGGACTCACTATGTGGGTGTCAAGAATTGTTGATAGAGTTCCTTGTATTCATCGGTAGGTCGAATGATCCATTTTCCTTCTTGGGTTCTCTGAAATCTTGTTTTGAAGTACCTGATGGTACAGCTGCATTTGATTTTGGGCTGGAGATTATAACACCTTTACCGAGGTGTTTGATATTGTTAATCTCTCCATCTCTCTCTCGAATATGAGGTTTCCTACTGGCCTCCCCATCCTTAATTTTGCCTTGCTTTATGGCCGACTCGATCATTTATATAGGCATAACCAAGTCTGAAAAGCTTTCTGATGTGATCGTAACCAGGTACTCGAAGTATAGAGCCTTCAAGCTTCCGGGTTTCTTTTTCATCCAAGGGTGGATGAACTTAGACAACCAAGTCCCTCTATTTTTGTGCGTATTGTCTGAAACTCTCGTTATGCTTCTTTTTCATGCTTTGTAGCATAACTCTATCTGGCCTTATGTCATTGATATGCTTGTATTGTTCCAGAAATGACTTGGCCAGGTCCTTCCAGGTCCTGATATTTGATTGGCTTAGCTGGTTGTACCACCGAATGGCTGAGCCCGACAGACTCTCCTGGAAGCAGTGAAATCAAAAGTTTATTGTTTCCTCCATATCTTGTCATCTTTCGGCAGAACATGGTGATGTGAGCAGATGGGCAACTGTTCCCGTCAAATTTCTCGAATTCAGGGGACTTGAATTTCGGAGGAAGAACTAAGTCTAGGACTAGACTGAGTTCCACAGCATCGACTCCATGGTAGTCATGGTCTCCTTTAACTACCTTTATTTGCTCCTCCAATTGCTTGATTTTTTCCTCCATCTTCTTCCCTTTGTCCTCTTCGTCCAAAACCGATACATGGTAATAATCCGGATTATTCTTAGGGTTAAATATAACAGTTTGTATCTCTGTAGTAGATGGAGTTTTTGCTTTTGTAGTGGATAGGTCCCTTGAATTTCAGGTAAGATTCCAGGTGTGATAACCACTTGCGGGGTAGGTGGTATAGTTACCCCTTCCGGTGAACCTGCCTCAGGTGCACTTACTTGATGTAAACCAGACAACTTGGCCATAATTTGATTGACCAAGGACTCTTTATTTTTCATAATTGTATTCAGAGTACTCAGACTACTCTGGTTAATCGTATCTTCAAGTTCTTTATGTAATTTGGCCATGTTCTCCTCAATTTTCTCGATTTTTGTTTCTATCTTCTTCTTTTTTAGGTGGGTGTTATGCGGATGGGGTGTGTCCAATGTTTGAGGTGGTGTATCCAGTATGTGTTCCTTTTGATGAGACATGCATATGTTAGTTAATGCGAATGTAAAGAAAAATAACAAAATGCAAAATATGTCTAGATGCATAATGCATGTAATGTTCGAAGCATTAATCCAAAAAAGTGTCTGTTATTAGAAATAATCCTTATTGGGGACAAAAGTGTGTTTTATCTTTTAAGAGACAAAAATATTCTGATAGCTTCTGACTTGTTGACTAGTCTTCCGCCTTCGTCTTTCACCGGTTGAATAATCTGTCGAACCGCTCTGGCTTCTCTGGATGAACCGTGCAAATGTTGAGTTACTTTTTGTACTGGCCCAAGAAGTCTCGAATGACTGTATCTCTGGCATTTATCTTTTGTTGAACATGTTCCCAACGAATACGTCATTGGAGCCCTCAATTGATAGGAACTATGTGAAGTTCATTTGTATGTTTCTTGAATTCGTCAGCATTGGTCTCCAATTTCAGCTATCATTTTGTCATTATTGTCTTTGAAGGGACTCCCGAGATCAGTAACCTTCATTTTACCCCTGCAACTTCTGCCAGTCAGTTCTTTAAAGATAGACTTTCATTGTGCTTGATGTAAACCCGGTTCATTCCGAGTCCTTTATAATGCAGCAGAGTGATATACTCTTCAATTGTGGGCACCACGTCTTCTGGATTGAATGTGACACATAGTCGCCTTGTAGACTGTCCTCTGTATTTTCATCTCTTGTATTACAACCCCTTTGTCCATTAATGCAGATTATTCATTTTTAACAAACACATTTTTATGAATCAACACCTCTTTTAAATGATGCAAGTGGTGAAAATAAAAGAAAAGAAAACAAGAATGAAAAGAGTTAGTGAGGTGAAAATAATAAAAAATAATCATGAAAAATAAAAGTCCTACCCTACATGATATTTACCCCACAAGCTTATTGTTCCTACCCGGACATAATCTCTATCCCGCATGCTAATTTCAAACAAATCCTAACTGCATATTTTTCTAGTTCGCATGCTTTGAACAGAAAGTAAAACAGGAAATAAAATCAAAATAGCCTAGGGTTTGGAATGAGGTTTTGGGGTGGGCTCTAATTTCATGTACTCTATTGGATTAGGTTTTAAAAAAGGAACTCGAGTTCTCCTTTACTAGTGCCCCCTTGGACTTGCCAGCCGGGCTCAGCCATCCGGTGGTACAACCAGCTAAGCCAATCAAATATCAAGACCTGGAAGGACCTGGGCAAGTTATTTCTGGAACAATACAAGCATATCAATGACATAAGGCCAGATCGAGTTATGCTATAAAGCATGAAAAAGAAGTATAAAGAGAGTTTCAGACAATACGCACAAATGAAAAAGAAACCCGGAAGCTTGAAGGCTCCATACTTCGGGTACCTGGTTGCGATCACATCAGGAAGCTTTTCAGACTTGGTTATGGCCGGAGAAATGATCGAGTCGACCATAAAACAAGGAAAAATTAAGGATGAGGAGGCCAGTAGGAAACCTCCTATGCGAGAGAGATATGGAGAGATTAACAATATCAAACACCTCAGTAAAGGTGTTATAATCTCCAGCCCAAAATCAAATGCAGCTGTACCATCAGGTACTTCAAAATAAGATTTCAGAGAACCCAAGAAGGAAATGGATCATTTCGACCCTATTCTGATGACATATAAGGAACTCTATCAACAACTTCTTGACACCTACGTAGTGTCACCATATCCGGTGGAACCCATGAAGCCCCCATACCCCAAGTGGTATGATGAGAGTGCTCATTGTAAATATCACGGCGGTGTCCTAGGGCACACTATTGAGAACTGTTATGCATTCAAGAGAGTCGTACAGAAGATGCGTAACTAGAACTGGATCGACTTCAACAACTTGGGGGGCATCCAAGTGAGGAAGATCATTTCATCATTTGAGGCATTCTGTTTGAATTTGTTTTTTTTTCATTTTTTCTCAAGAACATTTGAATAAATTTATGTTACTTTAATGATGACGAGCAATGAATCACATTTGCAAACTTACAATTATTTGTATATCAACTGAATTAAGAAACTCTATAAATGGTTTAAAGTTACAGATATTTAACAAAGTAACATGATTTCAAACAAAGATTTTTTACCTTACCGAGAATATACCCTCATACACCGTAACCTGCTCTTGCAATTAACCAATATAACCCTTTCCTTTCATAAGGTGCGGACAACATGGGGCATCCTTTTGCATATGACATTACTATGTTTTTTATTTAAGACGTTCAGTGATGATCATGATCTTTACAGATAAAATAGTCAAGTAGGTGAATCTAGTTTAGGTAAGTTGTTTGAAAATTGAACTCTAAAGATAAATTTTTTGACTTTCAACAACACCTAGACTATAACAGGTTCTTCTTGACAATCTTAAGAAATTTAATCCGCAAAGCTGAGTTATTCCACTAAGGCAATGGGTTATAGAGGAAACTTGAAAGCCCTGACCTTATGAATAGATTACGTTCAAACCATGACATTGCTCGAACGCTTGACAATTCGGTGTTTACTCCACTGCTATTGTCCGGCCGAAGATTTTGTGATGAGATGAACCCTTCAGTTAACTTGATAAAAATGATTATAATGTTAAGTTGTCCCTCTAAAGCAATTGGTTAAACGCCTCGGCTTTATGGATTCAACTAGCCAGATAACGACAAATTAAATCAAATTTATCTAAGCAAGAAATTTTCAGTAATGATGGACTAAGGGAGTTAAGGAACACCTGCTATAGTCAACCACACACGAGCACTCAAGAATTTCATTTTTAGACCAATATTTTTTACATTGCCTTTGTTAGAGGAGCCTACAAATCTTGAACAAATGGAAGATTTTAGAGGACCGAAATAAAAGGTCTAGTAATTGATCATGCTAGTTGCGTCATTTTGTCCGCACCCAACTGAAATGCTAAAGCATGTTGCGATATTTCAAAAAAATGACATTTTGGGTTACCAAAACCATAGATAGGAGGCCAACCTAAAGCCAACTCATCCATTTGAACATTTTTCAAAGAGCTGTAACTCTGAAAGCATTAAAAGAGCTCTTGATTCTTTTGATATTCTTTGAACTCACGTTTACAATTTGATTCAATTGTGAACAATATTTTTTTCCCTCCTAAAACAAGAAAAAGGAGAAAAACATTTTCAAACAGAACAGTCTCAGATATGAAGGGTTTGTAAAGCCCAAGCTTGAAAAAAAGATGGGGCACGATCAATTTTATGGACCAGATTGGTAGACAAAGCACGAGACTCCATTCAAGAAATAAAACATAATTCATTCATATTGCATGCATCTTAAACATACTTAGGTGCATCACATTCATTATTTTCACATTCATCATTTTAACATTCATCATTTTAGCATACATGTTTTTTACAGCTTTTTGAGTCAAGTTTCGACTTCATGGCAATGTTACTCGATTCAAAAGCACCTTTAAATATGACGGTGGTTGTTTAACTCAGCAGCAAGAAGCTATCTCTCAACCAATTCGATAGATTGAAAGACCGATAGTCAGCTTCAGATGAGTTCGAGAACTAGTTCAGAACAAATCCAGTTTAGCTCAACTCAACAACAAGTAATATATTTCAAGTTAATGTCTTCAAGCCAGATTTCAATTCCACAACGGGAGGTATCCGACTGACAGAAACTATCAGTGGGCTTTCCCTTAAAAAGGGAATCATCTAAAAATCACCTGGTCCAGACCCGCTCATGGGAACCACCTGAAGAATTACGACCAACTTAGACCTATGAAAGGAATCCAATTTTTTCCTATTTACAGCATAACTCATGGGTAGAAGGGTTATCTCCCAACAAAGACCTTCAAGTTCGACTACGTTAAACTCCAAGGCACATCATTTACATTATATCTTAAGTCGAGAAGGGCTATCTGCCAAAGACCCTTGAGTTCGATTACACTCAGCTTCAAGGGCACATCATTTACAGCATAACTCAAGGCTAGAAGGGTTATCTGTGACCAAAAGACCTTCGAGTTCGACTACGCTCAGCTCCAAGGCATATCATTTGCAGCAAACTTAAGTCGAGAAGGGTTATCTGCCAACAAAGACATTCGAGTTCGACCACGTTCAGCTCCAAACCACATCATTTGTAGCATAACTTAAATCGAGAAGGGTTGTCTGCCAAAGACCCTCGAGTTGGATTACACTCAGCTTCTAGGGCACATCATTTACAACATAACTTAAGGCTAGAAGAGTTATCTGTGACCAAAAGACCTTCGAGTTCGACTATGCTCAGCTCCAAGGCATATTATTTGTAGCATAACTTAAGTTGAGAAGGGTTATCTGCCAACAAAGACCTTCGAGTTTGACTACGCTCAGCTCTAAGGCGCATCATTTGCAGCATAGCTTAAGTCGAGAAGGGCTATCTACCAAAGACCCTCGAGTTCGATTGCACTCAACTTTGAGGGCACATCATTTACAGCCTAACTCAAGGCTAGAAGGGTTATTTGTCACCAAAAGACCTTCGAGTTTGACTACGCTCAGCTCTAAGGCACATCACTTGCAGCATAACTTAAGTCGAGAAGGGTTATCTGCCAACCAAAGACCTTCGAGTTCGACTACGTTCAACTCCAAGGCGCATCATTTGCAGCATATCTTAAGTCAATAAGGGCCATCTGCTAACCGAAGATCTTCGAGTTCGATTACACTCAGCTCAGAGGCAAACCAAATTTACAGAATAGCCCAATGCAATAAGGGTTATCTGTCAATAAATTGGTCGAGTTCGATTCCATTCAGCTTGATGACACCTCAATCACACACTACTGTCCGGCTGCAATCAAGGTTTTCAAGTCAAAAAGAAGACTGGGGTTAACCGTGCTAGAGTGACAATAAACCGCTTTCCTGCAGCATAGCTTAAGTCGGGAAAAGTCATCTGTCGACGAGGACTTTTCTAGTTCGATTTCATTCAGCTCGAAAGTCTATCAACCACATGGTAGGGTCAATGAACTACTTTCCAGTCGAATTTTCCAACCAAGATCTTTAAACTAAGAAAAAGACCGAGGTGGACTGCAATTTGAAGTCATATCCTGATTCCGAACTACGGCTTCAGTTCTGTATCATTTCAAGGTGGACTCGACTTCGCGACGGAGGAGCCATCTGCAAATCAATTCGACAGGGAGTTATTCTTCAGCTCTACCGAACGAAAATTTGCGTCTTTTTATCTTTGTCTTATTTTCGTTCCACGAAAAAAGACAAAGAGGGGTAGCTGTAGACACTAATTTTCGTCCACATATTATATTATATTATATATATATATATATATATATTATAGTTCGCAAATGGTTTTTGAAAATACATATATAATATATAGTTTTTATAAAAATATTTTGAAAATGTATACAGTATATAGTTTTTAAAACATTTTAGAAAAATATATAATATATGGTTTTTAAAATCATTTTTTGAAAACTTATATAATATATAATATTTTGAAAACATTTTTGAAAACTTATATATAATATATAATTTTTAAAACTCTTTTGGAAATTATATAGTTTTTTAAAAAATATTTTTGAAAATTATATAGTTTTTAAAAAGAAACATTTAAAAAAAATATTAAATATTTTTTTCTTTTTTTTTAAAAATAATTTATTATTATAATTTATTATTGTTATTTATTATTAATTTTTACTATTATTTATTATTTTTTCTTATTCATTTATTTTTTTTGTCTAGGGTCCAAAATAAGGTCCAAGATAAACGGGCCTAAACCAGCCCAAAAGTCCTACAAAACGGTCCAGTAACCAGATGATATTTAGGGTTTGAAAACCCTAAAGTCAAGGCATCACACAGCAATGTCAAGGGCCACACGAAATGGCTGGACGTCGGCCGAGGATCCCCGGGACTGAACCATCCCGAGATTTCAGCAGCAACGCCCCGAGCAAAACGGAACAACCCGGGGTACTGGTTCATTGAGAAGGGTATAAATACCCCGGTGACCAACAGAGGAGGGTACACATATCCACACAACGAACTGAGGCCACAGAAACCATCAACATCGGAGAACCCGAGAGATATCAACAAACCCACATCCAACACAGAAACATCAAAGTAATACAAACATTGAACCATAAAAGGCAACCACGTCAAAGCCAAAACAAAACCCAGAACCAAAACAAGAAATAATTCGAAACCCATAAGAAGAAAAATAAGTAAAATATCATTCCGTTCGTCGGAAATGAAAGGAGCCAAACGTCGGAACCAAAGAGCCGTCGGGAAGCCGAAAAGACACAACATCGAAGGTAAAGGATTTGATCTTTGGGGGTAGATCTACACTGATTGGGGCTATTTTTTGTAATTTTGCCTTCGAAATTGGGTTTAGGGTGTAAAGGGGAGTGTTTGGGAAAGTTTTGAGTTTTTTCAGCCACCATCGTCGGCGGCCGACGCGATGGCCGAAGCGGTGGTTGCGGCGGCTGGCCAGGCGGCCGGTTCCCCTCGGTCAGAAATGTAGAGAGAGGGCAGAGAGAACCTTTGTTCTCTCATTTGAAGAGAGATAGAGAAAAAAGATCAAATGAGAGTTTGAAGCCTTGATGACAGGTTTTGAGGTTAATTATACCCTCCTCAAAACGACGACGTTTTGGGGAGGGGCTTCGATGTAATTTCGGGCGTGGCTAGACTCCATATTCAGTCCTCAGGTTTTTGCATATGTGTAATTTGGTCATTGAGTTTCATTCTTCAGTTTTTAAAATTTGGAATTTTAATTTATTATGCTTATATTTTAGTCCCCAAGTTATATATTTTCGAATATGGCGAAAGGTTTTATTTTGGTCATTAATTAACATCCTTTTTTATTTTTTTAAAGCCCTTTTTTATATATTCAATTTCATCTCTTTTATTTTCTATTTCTATTTTTTATTTGTTTTGATTTCTTATTTTATTATTCTATTCTATTCTATTCTATTCTATTCTATTGTTTTGTTATTTATTTATTTAATATTTAATTATTAGTTTACCATATAACATTTTTCGACATTTTTAGTGGTAATTTCAATCCAATCAAAGGTAAGTATTCGAATCGAATTTTTAAATTTTAATTTTAATTTTTAATTTTCGTAATTAAAGACAATCGATAAATTAATTGGTACCGAAAGGGCGGTTCAAGGGTGCTAATCCTTCCTTGACCGTAACCGACTCCCGAACTCGACACGTTTCTGGTACAACGTAGATCATGTAAGATGGTGTCCGACCCACCTAATTTCGTTAATCATTTTTCCTAAGTCGAAGCCCAATTCTGGGCCCAACCGAAAGACGGTTCCGACAATATATATATATATATATATATATATGAGTTTTGTTAAAAACATAGAAAGTTCTTGAGTTGATTTGGTGGTAGTGTGCTTAGTTTTATTTTCGAAATACTCTAGTTTGAGTTTTTTTTTGAGATTATCTGGCATTTTTCTCGAGTTTTTCTAATAAAATGATGTTTTCTTTAGTCTTTTTGAACACTAGAATAATATATATTTCGTGTGACGTTTACTTTGACAAATCGTTAGTCACATCATCACTTAGTTAATGGTTTAATGATATAATTGAAATAAAATTTAAATTTAATATTATAATTGGAAGTTGAAAATATAAGAGATACACTACTTTAAAATGTAATGGTATACAATGCAGTTTACCCATGAAATAGTTATACACTACACACTAAAAGATAGTACAGGGGTGGAAATTATGTTAAAAGTAGAGGGAAAATTAACTTTTAAGCCAAAAAAGGAGAGAGATAAGATGAAATCAGTGGTAGACAACGCGGACCCAAAACAGAAGATAAGTTGGACGTCGAAAGAGTTTTTGCTGCTCTCAACTCTAGTTTACATCAAGCAAGTGCACCTGGGGCAGGTTCACCGGAAGGGGTAACTATACCACCTACCCCGCAAGTGGTTATCGCACCTGGAATCTTACCTGAAATTCAAGGGGACTTATCCACTACAAAAGCAAAAACCCCATCTACTACAGAGATACAAACTGTTATATTTAACCCTAAGAATAATCCGGGTTATTAACATGTATCAGTTTTGGACGAAGAGGACAAACGGAAGAAGATGGAAGAAAAAATAAGCAATTGGAGGAGCAAATAAAGGTAGTTAAAGGAGACCATGACTACCATGGAGTCGATGTCGTGGAACTCAGTCTAGTCCCAGACTTAGTTATTCCTCCGAAATTCAAGTCCCCTGAATTCGAGAAATTTGACGTGAACAGTTGCCCATCGGCTCACATCACCATGTTCTGCAAAAAGATGACAAGATATGGAGGAAACAATAAACTTTTGATTCACTGCTTCCAGGAGAGTCTGTCGGGCTCATCCATCCGGTAGTACAACCAGTTAAGCCAATCAAATATCAAGACCTGAAAGGACCTGGCCAAGTCATTTCTGGACAATACAAGCATATCAATGACATAAGGCCAGATCGAGTTATGCTACAAAGCATGAAAAAGAAGCATAACGAGAGTTTCAGACAATACACACAAAAATGGAGAAACTTGGTTGTCCAAGTTCATCCACCCTTGGATGAAAAAGAAACCCGGAACCTTGAAGGCTCCATACTTCGGGTACCTGGTTGCGATCACATCAGGAAGCTTTTCAGACTTGGTTATGGCCGGAGAAATGATCGAGTCGGCCATAAAGCAAGGCAAAATTAAGGATGGGGAGGCCAGTAGGAAACCTCTTATGCAAGAGAGAGATGGAGAGATTAACAATATCAAACACCTCAGTAAAGGTGTTATAATCTCCAGCCCAAAATCAAATGCAGTTGTACCATCAGGTACTTCAAAACAAGATTTCAGAGAACCTAAGAAAGAAATGGATCATTTTGACCCTATTCTGATGACATACAAGGAACTCTATCAACAACTTCTTGACACCCATGTAGTGTCACCATATCCGGTGGAACCCATGAAGCCCCCATACCCCAATTGGTATGATGAGAGTGCTCATTGTGAATATCACGACAGTGTCCCAGGGCACACTATTGAGAATTATTATGCATTCAAGAGAGTCGTACAGAAGATGCGTAACCAGAACTGGATCGACTTCAATAACTTGGGGGCATCCAAGTGAGGAAGATCATTTCATCATTTGAGGCATTCTATTTGAGTTTGTTTTTTTTTCAATTTTTCTCAAGAACATTTGAATAAATTTATGTTACTTTAATGATGACGAGCAATGAATCACATTTGCAAACTTGCAATTCTTTGAATATCAACTGAATTAAGAAACTCTGTAAATGGTTTAAAGTTACAGATATTTAACAAAGTAACATGATTTCAAACAAGGATTTTTGACCTTACCGAGAATATACCCTCATACACCGTACCCTGCTCTTACAATTAACCAATATAACCATTTCCTTTCATAAGGTGCGGACAACATGGGGCATCCTTTGCATATGCCATTACTATGCTTTTTATTTAAGACGTTCAGTGATGATCATGATCTTTACAGATAAAATAGTCGAGTAGGTGAATCTAGTTTAGGCCAGTTGCTTGAAAATTAAACTCTAAAGATGAATTTTTTTAGTTTCAACAACACCTAGACTATAACAGGTTCTTCTTGACAATCTTAAGAAATTTAATCCGCAAAGCTGAGTTATTCCACTAAGGCAATGGGTTATAGAGGAAACTTGAAAGCCCTGGCCTTATGAATAGATTACGTTCAAACCATGATATTGCTCGATCGCTTGGTAATTCGGTGTTTACTCCACTGCTATTGTCCGGCCGAAGATTTTTTGATGAGATGAACCCTTCAGTTAACTTGATAAAAATGATTATAATGTTAAGTTGTCCCTCTAAAGCAATTGGTTAAACGCCCCGACTTTATGGATTCAGCTAGCTAGATAACGACAAATTAAATCAAATTTATCTAAGCAAGAAATTTTCGGTAATGATGGACTAAGGGAGTTAGGGAACACCTGATATAGTTAACCACACACGAGCACTCAAGAATTTCATTTTTAGACCAATATGTTTTGCACTACCTTTGTTAGAGGA